CTTCTTCTTCACTGTTTCTCAGCAACATGTCCTCTTCTTCTTCTTCACTGTTTCTCAGCAACATGTCTTCTTCTCCTTCTTCTTCTACACGGTTTCTCAGCAACATGTCCTCTTCTTCTTCTTCACTGTTTCTCAGCAACATGTCTTCTTCTTCTTCTGGGTTTCTTAGCAACATGTCTTCTTCTTCTGGGTTTCTCAGCAACATGTCTTCTTCTCCTTCTTCTTCTACATGGTTTCTCAGCAACATGTCTTCTTCTCCTTCTTCTTCTACACGGTTTCTCAGCAACATGTCCTCTTCTTCTTCTTCCGGGTTTCTCGGCAACATGTCTTCTTCTTCTTCTAAGTTTAAAATTGATGCTTAATGTCTTTATGAGCAGAGACTGTCAAATCACTTTATAAATCAATTGTTATACCTCCTCAATTTGCTTGCACAATTTATTTAAGTATTAAATCAGCATATATTGGACTTTTGCTATATTGCTATTGATGAAATGTATAAATTGGTAACACTTATTATTATTGTTTTATTACCCAGCCCTAGTAAAGATATGAGTACATGCAGGGTTAATGATGGATCTCATTCTGGCTTTGGTTATCAAATCAAACAAATTACACTGAAGTTGTCCTTTTTTTGTTTTTCTTGTGTCTGGATTAGCTGAAGGTTCTTCGAATGCAAAGAAAGCCAAAGGGCAAAATAACTGGAAGCAGTTGCCACGGTCCAGCATCATTGCTCTGGAGAACATAATGGACCTGTCACTCCTGTGAGTTTCAATGTTCATCTGTGAGGCTCTTGTTGCTACTCTGAAAAGCATTGTTTACTTATTTTGGCATATACACTGTATGTGCAAACTGGTATACTGTTCCATGTATGCGAACGTTAGTAAATTATGTATTTACATGATTTTTGATGCAAAAAGACAAGAAAACAAAAACCAAAGCAAACAGACGATGACAATTAGCCTTTCTTCAAACGCTAATGCTATGTTTATATTTTACTTTATTAGTTTTAAAAACTTGCAGAATTATTGTGTCAACAAACAACAGAACAGTTTTTATTCCCTCACTTGTTTGGTAGATTTAGCAGAATTGACATTCAGGCAACAGCAAATACAAAACACAAAATCAGGCAGGAACTTGACCCATGGGCTCAGTGTGTTAGATTGAAAGTGTAGCAGTAAGACATCATCCAAGGTAGTCTCAGATCTCCTCTGTCCATTTAGATCGCCTCAATCTGTATGGAGATGGTGTCTGGGTTGTTCACTATTCCAAATAAATGTGTCCATCTATTAACACAGCAAGTCAAAGTCAACATTACGAGGATACTTTCTTTTCTCCGTGTTAACAGAGCTGTTCTTGCTTTGAAGAGGACAGATAAGAAAGAGAGCCAGGAACATCTGAACATGATGAAAAACAGGTAAGCAGTAAGTTAATTTGAGATATAAATAAATTACATGAACTGTCTTTACATGTACTAACCGCTACAGTCACACATCTAATGATGAGATCCATTGTGCTAAACAGCATAGTGAATAGGTTTTTCTGGAATTACTTATTTTCTAGTGTCTTCTATAAGCATAATACCACAATACTGTGTTCAGAGAAGTCATTGATTGACTATTTTAACTATTATAATGCAAGGAACCTATTATATTTTTTTCCGTATCCTGCATTTTTATATAATGATTTTTTTTGAATTTAAACATAAAACTTTGCACGGCTGTACAGTGAGCTAGACACACCTCGAGTAAAGATTTTTTTATTGTATTTTATATAAGATAACCAATTCAATTATAGTGATTTCAGATTGGTAAATGATGCCAATTAATAAACAGGAGATGTTGAAAAATAAGTTACTCTTCACCTCAGTGAACTGTGTTCCACTGTTACACATTATAATTAAACAAAACTCAACATATGTCAAACAAAAAGCAAGTATTCTGTTGTTCATTGATCATTGATTTGAGCAATAAGTCATATTTTGGGGAAAAACTCAACTTAATACATGATCATATTTTTCTGATTCCAGTGAAAGTTGATAAATGAACATCAAATCACCATCTCACCCTTCTCCCTAACCTTGTATTGATGTAAACATCATTATTTCATACAAGTAAAGAGGAAAAACATTGATTGTTCCTTAGTCGTACTTTTGTTTTGGCTGATGTATTTCACTTTTTCAGGTTCCTTGCTCAGTGTGCACAGCTCACAGTTCCAGTGCAGAAACAAAAAGATTTGAAGAGTTCACCTCACCACCACCAGGAGGAGACCAAGAAGGCATTGGCTGGAAAGTCGACTTTGAGCCGACTAGAGGTGAGAAACACTGTCGTCTGCAGGGAGGGCTAGCGACAGTAGTTTTACAGAGTAGTTAGTTCTGTTACATGATTAATTGATTTGATAGAACATTTAGTTGCAGCAGTTTTAACAATCTTTTCTCAAACAAAACAAACATGTTGATTAATCCTCTCTACCAGTTGGTTTGGCAAAATATGATATACAATTATTGTTGATTTGTTGATTTTCTTACTTGTGTTGCTTTGGTCTCTGGGAAGTGATTTAATATTTTCTTTTTAAAGGTACAGTGTGTAGAATTTTGGGATATCTAGTGTTGAAATTGCATGTTGCAGCTTAACACCCCTCACCTCACCCTCTCCTTCCAAACATGAAAAAGAAACTGTGGTAGCCTTAATTGTCATAAAAACTCAAAAGTTGTTTGTTTGTCCAGTCTGGACTAATGTAAAAAACATGGCGGCTTCCGTGGAGAGGGTTCCCTCGATGTAAATATAAAGTATTTGAATATAAAGGGCCTTTTCTGGGGTAAAGAAAACTACAATTCATACAATTAAGATGAATTATATATATATATATATATATATATATAAACTTATAAAGTTTATTGTAAAGCGACATCAAAGGAATCGTTGCCAATTTAGTAAAAATGTATATATAGGTCGATTTATCTGAATTGGAAAATTTCACTCCCTGATATCTGTACTAGCCCCCAAAAATCAATATCAGTTGGGCTCTCATGAATTATGTATTTTATACGTAAGGAAATTGTGTAACATTCTGTCATGTTGTCTGTACCAGGAAGACTTGCGGGCAGTGGTCCGTGCTCTGGAGAATGCTGAGGAGCAGACCAACTCTTTACAGCACACATGCAGTGTACTGAGAAACCAGGTGGAGGAAGAGGAAGAGAAAGCTAAAGAGGTGCAACATAGTGACACAACCTTACAAAGAAATATGCTATAAATCTTTATGTGGCCTGAACCTTTAATACCAGCTGTTAGTATATTATTAGATTTCAATGTCTTGCTCTATAAATGACTTTACTAATTCAGTTAAACTTGGTAGAGTTCTCAGTTTGAATATGTTTTTTGTATGCTGCCTGTTTTCATGTCCACACAGGAAACACACATTTTGGACAGGATAATAAAATACAGCAGCAGCTAAAGATATGTCTGGACGAGAAATGTTATGTTGTAAAAAGGCAAACTCTGTCCTGTGTGTTTGAGATTTGACTTTATTTAATGGGCCATTTCATTACTGTAGAAGTTAGAATTGAGGTAACCCAGAGAGAGACGTGGTTGTATTTCTCTCAGCCTGTTGGACATGAGTGAGTCTTAACAGATCTTGTTGTCTCAGTTGAAAAGCGTGTGAAAACCTATCTGAAATGTGGGGTCTGACGTAATGAGTATTTTTCTTGAGAAACTTTGTCTTAGCAGCAAGGACAGGAAATATATATTTTTCAGCTAGCATAATAGTTTGAACCACAATAAAGCAGAATTTCATATTTGATCATCATCTCAATGATTCAAGGGAGAGATAAAAAGATGATAATTTACTTACGTAGAACATTTCTTCCTGTGTAAACACAGAGTTTACAGATAAGGCAACAGGCAGTTCTTAACCTTCCGCCGCATCCGCCACAAAAACACAAAACTTCATCAGAGGTGAGTGGTGCACAAAACACTCTTTCACAATCTACTCTGCGCTTGACTTGTTCCTATTGCTCAATACATGTTACCATTTGAGCCATTCATATTGTTGCTGTAAAAATGTCTGAGCCAGCTTTTCTTTCCTTGTAACTTCTTTGGAATCTCACATGAATTAAATCTGTTTCATGTGAGGCACAGACAGAACATGACATGTGGAGTTTTATTACACTGTTCCGTGTGTGGTCACTGTGTGGATTGTGTTTCGTGTGTGCTCCGTTCACATGGATGGGTTAAATACAGAGCTCAAATTTCCACATGTTTGCATGTTGCATGCTGTGTGTGGGACCAAAAAGAGGAATCTTATCTTATGTTGTCATATCGATCTGATCAGCTACACAAAGACACAATCACACAGTAGTGCTGGATATTTGTTTTTTGCTTTCCTCAGACAATGAAAAAAAATATAGCAGACAGTGACTCTGAAGCCACTGCACGAAGACTGGGAGAAATGCTGCAGAAGTCTAAGGCCGTCCAGAACGCACAGGTCCTGCTTCTACACGCACACAAACATGCTGATCGACTGTTCAGCTCCGGCTGCAGCACCATCAGTGGTTCACCTCGTTCAGAGGGAACTTAGCCAAGTCTTTCATAACACCTGTCTGAAAACAATGGTTTGAACAAAGTTTACAGGTCTAACTATTGTATACACACGCTATTGGAACACAATATAACTTGGTCTCAATGCAACTCATTTCCACTTTTTTGACACTAGTTGTGTAAACCAGATGATTTTGTTAAAGCTTGAGGAAAAGGAAAGAAAAATTAAAGAAGTAAAAATGAGTGAAGTGCCTCTTCACTATTTGAAATGCATTGAGGTGGCAGCCACACTCTGCTTCTCATCTCAGGTTTTGTGCTTTCTCTTCAGCATTCAGTTAAATGTTGTATTTGTTGTAAATGTTTTCATTTACAATAATGATGCATTTGTTTGTGGTGGAAAGACCGTTCAGATATCCAACTTCATATTCAGCATCCTGAAGAAAAGTTTAAACAAACAAACCTACAAGTGCTTGTACGATCAAATGTAATAAAATTATTCAATTTAATAAAATCAACTTTTTTTATTCATGTTTTAATGTAGACAGAAAATAAATGTAAAGTGCTGCCATTCATTTATATTGAAGCCATTTTTGCACAAATAAGGTCCAGTCATTGATGTAGTACATTCACAATGTCACAGAAAATCCTGCAACTTCCTGTCAAGCTTGTTTTGCTTCGTCCTCAGACGTACATTCAGTGGGTCATTCAGTAGGAAATGGTTGCAACAGGTAGTAGTAACGTCATAACGGTTCCACAGAGGTGATGCCAAATTGCCTTTATTGCTGCTTGGTGACTGGCTACGTTATTGGTCACCCTCCTACGTCTATGTCAGTGGATGGGACATGTACCAAACTCCAGATTCAAAGTACATACTTTCTGTCTGTGTGGGTAGTTTTCATTTGTTATTGTATGCTATGAAATTAGTGGTGAAATGTCATGATTGACAGCTGAGACTGACTCATGAGCTGTCGTCTGCATGTATCAGCGGGACCTGGATGATAGAGTGTTGTGTTGTAAGCACCCATTACTATGGAGCCCGAAATCTCTAATGATCCTACTTTGAGCTTCGGGCTTCATGTCTAAGAAGGTGTTTCCTGCCCACAAACCAACATACAAGATGGTTCATGAATTCATTTTGATTCCAGGTATGACCCTGCCTTCAGCATGTCACAACAAAAGAGGCATTTTTAGAGTCTCCAGTCATCTGGTTTTACTGACCATCTTCTTGTTCTACAGTAAAGGAAACCTGTGCCTTTTCACTGAGATGTCTATTTGTCCTTCTGCACTTCACTGTTCGTTGTTTTCTTATTCAGGCATCGTCTGTCTGGCTAATCATGAGAGCTGAGCTGTGTTTCCCAAAAATTATGATTTCTGCCAACATCACTCTGCGTATTTAAATCTAACTTTCATTATGCTAATCTCCTGTCAGAAAGTGTTTCTTACATGGTGGAATGAAATAAGAGGGAATAGTCAAACTATGATTCAGCTGGAATCACTTCAAATTACAGTCAAATCAGTGCAGCAGGATAATGTCTCCTACATATAGGTCACAAGATCCACCTATTTTCTGTCTATTGGGTCTTTCACACTGATCTGGAAAAGCATTGCCTGAAAATGTCACTCAAATCTCTACCTCATATTTACTCAGTTCCCTTTTTTGGATTTGTGAGCTATTTGCATTAATGAGGAATCAGCAAATTAAAAGTAACATCTAGATTTTCCACTTTACAAATATGGAAAGCATTTATGTTTTTTAACGTACAAAACGACCTCAAACTCACAAACATTGTTAACCCCTCGGTTACATGTTTGAGGTCTTCATTGACTTCCTTCGTAAAGACTCTGAGGAGTCCTCATTGAAAAGTCGTTCAATCGTGGAGACAAGTGAAGCTTTGATAGCGCGGCCTAAGCCTCTGGCAGCAAACACATAGAGCACAGGATTAAGAGCACACTTGATGTACACCAGGTACAGTGATATGTATGTGCCCTTTAATGCTCCCATATACAGCTGGGGCCAATCAGACCGAACCTCGGCCAAGGCTCGCAGGAACCGACAAACAAAATAGGGCACCCAGCAGGTGAGGAAGAGGAGCATGGTGAAGAAAAGCACATGGTACATCCTGGTCATCTTGCGTGCAGTTGAAGGGCTGGGGGAGGTGGGTGTTGGAGGCAGTGTTTGCCGCTGAATGGTGAGTAAGACGGCCAAGTTACTTCCCAGGAAAACCAGCAGGGGGAGGATGAAACCTCCTAATGTCTCTGTGAGAAACAGCCCCATGGTAAAGTTTCCACTCTCTCTGCACTGGTATTTCCCGCCCATTTCGATCAGGACAGCAGTGTGCAAGTAGGGGGCAGACATAATGGCGGCTAACAGCCATAAGAGTCCACATGCCAGAGGAACAGCCCAGCGTGGCCGTTGCAGTCGAGCCCACACAGGCCTTAGCAGACACAGACATCGCTCCAAGGCCACAGCGCAGAGAAGGAAAGCGGAGGTGTACAGCCCCAGGCCTCGAAGGAACATGATGAGGTGGCAGAAGCCACGGCCATACGGCCAGCTGTGGTTGTGAGCGATGTAGCCCAACATGAGGGGGGTCCGCAGGAGAAGCACCAAGTCAGCCAGGGCCAGGTTCAGGACATAGACACGGAAGCTGTTGGCGGCACGCGTCTGCTCACCACTGCCTCTGCGTGTAAAGTGACGGCGGCGCTGCAGTCCAAGTGCCCAGACCACCAGTCCATTCAGAATGATGCCCACCTGGAGGAGCCCAGAGAAGCAGCGGGAGATTAGACTCAGATGACTTTAAAAGAAACGGTTTGACTTTTGGAGGACTGGGCTCATTTGTTTCCTCGGAAGGAATTAGATGAGACGGTTATTAGGACTCGTGTGCGTTTTAGATATTGCACTACAAAGGGAGTTAGCTTAGCTTTGCATTGAGGCTAGAAACATGGAAATTGCTAGCCTGGCTTTGTTGAAAGACAAAAATATCTGTTGATCTAGCACCTCTAATGTTCATTAACTAATGTTTTTTTCTTTTTATTAGGAGGTCAAGTGCACACGACTTGACCAAGAAATGGTCCTCTATTTAAAAAAAAAAATGTTTAGAGCAATGTTAGAATTTATCTGAGTACCTTTTTAAAAAACCCCAAAACCCATGAAGTTTAAAGTAAATATATTGACCGATATTTATTGGAGCCACCAAGAATTTCTCACCAGAAAGATGAGCAGTGTCGCTGCGATCTGGACTCCCTTGATGCCCTTTGCTTGCCAAAGGCTGCTGGAGATGTTGTGGCTGCTCAGAGGCTGGTTCACCGCACTGACAGGAAACTGTGTCCCGTTCATGTTAGCCACTGAGGTGATGTGAACCTGGAGACGAGGCAAAACACAGGATGCATATATTTAATGGCTTTTTTTTTTCTTTTAAAATTTCACAAAAAATATAAAACATTAAGGAGTAAAAACCGCTTAGCATTTATGAAGATGTGCAACCTGCATGAGGAGGTTATGTTTTTTTAATCTGCCTTTGTTTGTCATGTAGAAGGATTGAGCAAAAACGATTGGACACATTTTCCAAATGACCCTGTTGTCGGTCAGGGAGAAACCCATTCAATTTTGAGCAGGTGAAAGTTAATGCAGATGTTGGTTAATGATCCACATGTGAATCAGAATACATATTTTAAGGGGGTTGGGTTGATCTTTGTTCTACAGTAACAAACATTCCTTTCAACTACATCAGAGAATGTATATTTTTTATATTTATGTTGCATGTAAACAGTTTGTGTTCCATGAGTTCCTGTCTAGCTGCATATTCAAATATTGAGTTCCCATGTGTCCGTTGCCTAAAACTCAGACACAACAATACAGACCATGTACATGATGAAGTCTGTGGTCCACAAACTTCCTCATTAACTCAGTTTTGTTGCAATTACTCAGAACGTTAACCACTTTAGTAAACAATAAAATGAGATTAGCAATGCAACCTGTGGCTCTGCTGCATCTCTGCATACAGATACGTTTTAACATCAAAATGACATTGAATTGGTTTGCTGGTGACTTAACTTTATCTTAACCATAACCAGTACATGCTTACCCTCACGCTGTAGAAAATGTACAAGGAGCCGCTTTTCGCTCTAAAAAAGTGAAGTCAAGTCTCCTCAATGTCAAAACGCACTCTCACCCACAGATCAGTCAGGTGTTTGTATTAGCAGTAATGATTGAAGAGAAAGGAATCGGATGTTCTTCCTTGCAGGCACTGCTGCCCCGGGGCCCTGAGTGAGTGAATCTAGACTGAGCCTGTTTGTATGCTGCTGCGTTGACATCAGCATTCATGCTGATAACACTCCTGTTTTAATAAACGCCTCCTCTGGTCTCCACACGGTAGCAGCTTTCACCGGTGCCAAAGTAAGTGATAGCAGTTGTGGTTTTCAGTGATTGAAAGCTCCTAAAATTCAGATTCCTAGAATCAGCGGAGACCAATAAGTTAAGGAAAGAGGATTTATAGAATCGGTCTCTCGTAAATTTAAAGAGTTTGCTTCTTACCTCCGTTGTTTTCCTTGTGTGTGGGAGAAACTGAGCAGGAGACAGAGAAAGGTGTGCCTGCTGGCTGCTTTTAGATCATTACAGCCCCTCCCTCCTTCTCTTTCTTTAGTGTATGATTGCAACACACATGTTTTCTTATGAACTTTTAGCTGGAAATATGACAAACATATCAGTTGTCAGCCAATGAAAAGCTATTTCCTGTATCCAAACAACATAACTTTAACCACATAAAGAGGACAAAGTTACACATTAAACTGATGATTGATTGAATTATTTAAAATGTTAGATTATACTCTACATCATGCAGTAAAACATCCATTTTCTCCAGGTTACTGTTATTCCACTGCTTGTTTCTCTGGACAAAACTACTACTTTAGATTTTGCTCTGTAGATGTAGAGGAACGGGAGAAAGGGGGAAATGAAATTAAATGATTTAAATGCGACAAATGTCCCCCAGTTGACCTCAGACTTACAATGCTAAAATTATCATCATAAACCCAGGACACCTTTATACATCATTATCGTCTGTTTCTTCCAGCATACAAACATTTTTTAATGGTCTGTGCTTTGTCTGTGGGAAGCTTAGTTTAGCAATATTGGCAGACAGCATAATCAGAGAAACGTGGTTTTTAACACTGGAAAAATATAAAAGGTCCTGGATGATACAATAAACAAAGTAGCCACAAACTCTGAAAATGTTGAAGATGAACCCTGGATGTTCCCCTTTTTTTCAACATCAACATTCTTCTTAATTACAACATGGTGTATTTAATTGCTGTATATAATCAAACTTATGTTATACCTTTTGGGCAGGTATCATTTGCCATAACTCCACAGGACTATGTTGTTGTGTATTGTTACGTTGGTGTGTTACAGGATGTTGTGGTTGTGGCACGATTTCGTCAGGCTACTTTTAACGGCAGTTTAAGACTATGTGTTTTTAACAATAGCATCCAGTTGAGCCCTAAGCTGTGATTTCTACCAGCTGGACCTAAACGGCACCTTCAGGTTTGTCAGAAGTAACAGAGCAAACAGCGCCTCAAGATCTCAGGTTCAATTTTTCTTATTGGTTGATAAAGATTCTGCGGGCACCAAAACACTTTCCTGAAAATGGAAGTTGGATGATTCCACCCAACTTTCTGCTTTCACATGTATGGTGTTTGGATATAAATGTTCTATTGGGTTGTGTGGACACTATTCTAGACACCTGATTGCTTTATTGACAGCTGCCACTTAAACCATTGAAGTCTGTATGTTTAACCCTCAAATATTAGCAGTATAGATAATTCAATACCCAAAAAAGAAAAATCTAACTTAAGCTTAAAAAAAGGAACAACTTCTAAAACAGCTGGGAGTTTTTAGTATCGGTTACTCAAAGTTGTATAGATATATTTTTAGGCCCACATTTTGTGGATATGGAATTTATTGACAATAAGAAAAATAAAGATGTCCCCACACTTTGACAATGTGTTTTTGTTTTGAATGTCTGCTCTGATGTGATGTAAAGTCAAGCCCTGTGTGATGATTTTATACTGATGATGCATTTGTTGATCTTCACCACTAGATGACAGTGCTGCTCATTTGTTGAGAGGAAGTGATGTGATGGGTCATTTCTGTCTTTATGCTTTTTTAGGGCTGAAATGCTTTTTTTCTAATCAGCTACAGTTTAAATGTGAGCGGACTGACTCTGATAACAATGAGGACATTTGATTAGTTCTTGTGTCATTCATATATTTGTATACTGAGAAC